TTTTACTTACTGTTAAGTGCATTTGAACTTAGATACAACTACTATTAATTGTACTTACCACTAAGTGTACTTGCTATTTATTTATCGCTTACCGTGAAGTCCATCTAAAGTCCAATGCAACTACTATTGCTCGCAAATTACTAGAAAGTGTAACTATCGTAAGTAAAACTAATTACCGATAAGTAATTAAAAGTCTACTTATGATTTATTACACTTACCGGTAATTGCACTTGACGGTACTTATATGTAAATAATACACTTGACGGCATTAACACTTTGCGGTAAGTGTAATAAATAGTAGTTGTAATAGACGGTATTAACACTTTACGGCAAGTGTAATAAATAGTAATTGCACTTGATGGTATTAACACTTTACGATAAGTGTAATAAATACAGTTGCACTTGACGGTGGTAACACTATACGGTAAGTGTAATAAATAGTAGTTGCACTTGACGGTATTAACACTTTACGATAAGTGTAATAAATAGTAGTTGCACTTGACTTGACGGTAAGTGTTCTTATCACTGCTATTGTTAGCAGTTACCGTCAGGTAAAATTACTATTTTTCTTATATTTACTGTGATAAGTAACTATACTGTTTGTTACACCAGTTTAGTTTAGTCAGATAAGAAGCACTTTTTATTGCACTTACCGTTAAGTTCAATCTATTTCTAGTATCTTACCGACAAACATTTAACATAACTATATAACTGCACTTACCGTCAAGTCAAGCAGAGAAAAAGTATAATTATTGGTTGCACTTACCGTAGATTAATGTAATTAATACCCTCAAGATCAATTATACTATTCATTGTACTTACCATTAAGTGCAACTACGGTCGAGTGGAATTACTATTTATTGAACTTATCGTTAAATTCAAGTTCTATTGAGTGAAAACACTAATTTATTGCACTTACCGTTAAGTGTACCCTTTGCCTAGTACAAGTACTCTTTATTTCACTTCTCATCGATTAAAACTGCGGCGCTAAGTGAAACTATACTTTAATTACATTCACCGTTAAGTGTAACAACCGTCAAGTGAATTTACTATTTATTGAATTTACCGTTAAATCCAATGCACTTATCGTCAAGTGAATACTTACCGTCGAATTTTACTATACCATAAAAATATGCAACAATACGCTTTTAACTGCGAGTGTATAATGCAACTAAATAATGTACCAAAAATTGCAACTACTATAGATTAATAATAATGTTAATTCTGTAATTCTTGTTAGATAATAATCACCGATATTTTCTATTACAAACAAGAACCATTATTATTGTTATTAAATGCTTATAAAAAAAAAGGAAAGTAGACTCCTGATTGTTGATTGATGGGAGAATATCCTTGAGAATCTGTATTGATTGGAGTTATTTCAATATGCTGCGATAATGATTCTCTTTTTTTACCCTTTGTTTAATTAATTGGCCGTAATTCAGGAGAATCGTAAATCTCTAATCTTACCTGCAAGTTTGCTCGCACTGAATGGATTCGTAGGTGGTGATTGTCTCGTAGCCCACGCGCTTGTTGGAATTGGTGTGGGTGTTCGGAACCAGGGAGCACTCCATCCAACAGGGGTACCAACGATTGACGTCCGATATGAGTTTGAACGCATGACTCACCCACCTTTATAAGGTAATAACTTGTCAAGCATAAATGTACATGTCAGGACTATACGTAGGCCTCTTCACTTAGGGGGCTTGTCAGCGTTACTGTTTCAAGAAAGGCAAACATTTCAAGTTGTATATTCTCTGTTACTTTTTCTATACATATATATATACATATATTTGTATGTATGTATACTCTTTGTCTAGTCACAGTTTTCTTTGTAAAAATGAAAACAGTATCGTATGGAAAAAGGGATGATATAAATTGTTACAAATAATTATAGTAAAAGTATGTCAATTTTTAAACATATATATATTTTGGTTGAGTTTTATTTTCCAAAAAGTATATAAACAAAAATCTGAGCCATTGTCTCCCTCGTCTATTTTCATTTGAAATGACATTCACAAAGGAAAAGTATTTCTGTTAAATTGCTTGTTCCTCGTGAATTATTTATGGAGCCTTGCCTCGCAAGTCTTTTGCAGAGAAGATAAAGTACCGCTCTACTTTACAAATTTTTCAGTCCTAATATTTTCTGCAATTCTCTCTTTTTTTTCTCTCTCTCTCTCTGAAAATCTCATTCTTTCGTATATAATTTTCTTTTAAATTGCCTCTTGGCTTTTCTTTTAAGTTTTGTTGCATATTTTTTAAGACTTATTACACTTCTATGGGTCTCTCCGTATATTGAACCAGTTCTTAAACTGTGAAAACTCATCAAATTGATTGAAGTGATAAATTTTTTATTGTCCATAGATATGAAAAAAAAGACACAAGGTGAGAAGTCAAAGGTCAATCGTTTTTCTAAGCTCGGCAGGTGCTCGTGTTTATATTTACGATGGCCCTTGACCTACGGGTGGTCAGTTGAGATAAGTTTTCCTTTTGCGGATAAACGATGTGATGCATTGAGCATTGGCATATACGATACATTGGACTTTCCTAGGTCGGATTTATGTGTGGCCCCGACTCAAACGAGTAACGATCTGTAAAGAGGTTTGTAAGTTGGCGGGTAGCATATGCGCCCTGTGGCGTGGTTGGCCTCCCTGGGCGAAATCCTCGTATGTCGGCACCAATGGACTGGATCAAACTTGAGTCTATTCCCAGGGACACTGCCGTGCTTTTTTCCATATATATATATATATATATATATATATATATATATATAATCCATCCAATCGCGTTGATATGGGCCACCCGTTGATTTTTCCATCTCAATCAATTTTAAAAATGAACTCCTTCTATAATGTCTCACCTTCTTTATGAGAAACTATTACAGGTCTACTGTTTCTTATTTGTATATATACTTTATTAATTTATTACATTCAATGCTTTTTAACAATATGTATTCTTTATTTACATAACTAGAAGTATATACATATATATATCTAGAATAAAAAAATTATTGAAAAATTGTTTACTATATGGAAAGTTTACTCACTGATAAAAAAAAGTGTCAACAATCGAAAAAAAACGAGAATAAAATATTTATAATTATATTTATATAAATCTATATATATATATATATAGTATATATAATCAGATGTCTGTCTGTACATTCCCAACCAAAAATTTCAGTATTATACCAGAGTTGACTACTGGCGCAGTACTGGTTCAGTATTGGCTGCCGAGGCTGGGCAGTCTGTACTGAACCAGTACTGGTATTTCCATTGTATCCGTACTGGTACAAACCAGTACTGAGCCGATATTGAGCCAGTACTGGCTCAAATAGATTTTCTTTTTGATTAATACTAGTATACAAAAAGTTCTACAGTGAACCCGATGAATTCTTTTGTTTAAATATTTTGTTCATCAAAAATTTTTCAACTTGATTTTATTTTTCAAAATTAAAATGTACTTTATTTTGCTTTTCTGTGGGTAAAATTATTTAAACAAAAAGTTTCCTGAGACCAAGTCTAAAACATTTTGCAAGATTTTCTTTTTGTTTTATGATATGCAATAAACCAAAAAAAATTTTAAATGATCAAACTAAAAATAAATGAATTTGTTTATAAAAAATTAATATTTTTTAAAATAAAATTTATAAAATAAATTTAACTTAAAAAATTAAATACAATCGTAAGTAAAATTGCACTTATGCAACTTATGCCGACAACAATTAATTGTTAACATTTAATTAATCCATATTAATAAAATCAGAATCAAACTTTTGTCTGTACATTGTTCAAATTTTAAAATTTTTGACGTAGCTTGTCATTATAAAGAACAAGGAGTCCAAAAATGTTTGTTAAAAAATTTGTGTCTGTACGTATGTCTGCAATATTTTGTTCCAGTATCATGCAAGAACGATTTGAAAAATTAAAGTGAAACTTGGCAGTCTCTTAGGTATTAGCCTAACTTAAAATTTTAGCCATTTCCGATTTAAAAATAATAATTTGTATAGAAGATATGCTACTTTTTAAAAAATTTGAAAAATCAAAAATTTTCGAATTATTTATTTCTTAATAGATTGTTTCTAAACTTTCTATACTTGAGTATTAAATGTTATTTAGTCACATTTTAGAATAATTTTTCAAAAATTACAAGCTAAAACTGAGATATAGCTATAAAACTGTTTTTGGGGTTAAAAAATCGAAATAACTATTATTATAACTAATTGCTTTCAAATTTAATTCGGGGGTATTTTTAAGACCCCTGATTAAGATTTTCACGTCAAAATAATATAATTCCAAATTGCAAATTCAAAGTCACTAGTTCAAAAATTTGAGAATCAAAAAAACGAATAATAAGTATTTGTAATAATTGAATTTATGCGTCCCAAATGATTTTGTTTGTACAAATCTATAATTATAAATTACAGATTTGTACCCATACAGAAGCAAAAATTCGACGAATATTATAGAAGAGTCATAGAAAATGCAGTATATTATCGTTTATAACCATAGTATTCTTTTGAGTGTATGTATTTTTGTGATGAAATATTCGATAAGTTTTTGATGCTATATGGCTGAGATGTATGAATTCTGAACAATTTACAGATGATCCTGATGAAAATACTAAGTAAATATTATTACATTTTGTGCGAAAATACTATAAGTCACGCGCCACTAGATTTCGATCGACAGCTGGTATTATATAAAACTAAAGACAGTTACTTTAACAGAACTCAATATTTTAATAATTTATTTCCATTTTATTTTCTGTTACATATTATAGTTTTGATGTTAAAAAAATTTAAGAGTATTTTAAAAATACATATATAAAACGATACGTCAACATTTTTATGCAAATATGGTTTCAATTAAAATATAAATTTCAAGGCAATAATAGTCAAACATTATAATAAATTAAGTAAAATATTTCATGAACAAATAAAGAATTTTGAGTAGTTGTGATAAAAAGTTTACTTAGATTACATATTCGTATATAAAAGAAGTATCATAAAAAAAAACATTTTAGTTTCAACTGAATATCAAGAAAAAAATATGTTTATCGTAAATAACATATTACCTACATTTCTGTGGTTTTTGACAGTTTTTGTCAATTTTTACGCATGCGGTATGTTTTTTTTTATTTATAACTATTCATATTTAATTATTATTAATTAACATTATTTAATAATAAATTTAATTATTTGTAGAAAATTCATCCAATAATTGTCATGTGAATTGGGATACAGTGATCCAAGAAAAATTAAGATTCTTGAAAGATTTGAATGACAAATCTTTAAGACAATTAGAGACTACAATTCTAGAAGAAGTTTCACAAAAGTGCCCAAATCTTACATCAGTTGTACTCAATAAAATTTCTAGAGAAATTTCTTGTACGCTCTTAAAATACGTGAATATTAACCGGACAATGCTAATTGTTGAGATTTCTTATGATGTTGCAAACGATATTAAAAATATCTTGGAAGATAAAAAAATTTACAGTAAGCATTTTTTAATCAACTTATTAATGCAATGTTATTTGTTTTTTAATAATTTAATAATTATAATAAATAAATAAAATATGTTGTTAAGTTTAACATTATGTTGAGTAAAATGAGTAAAATCTTCTCACTTTGTAAGCAATACCTTATAAATGATCAAGTATAATCACTAAAATTTACAGCATATGATACATAATGTTAATCTTGTTGGTAACTTTATCTTTAATAAAATTTTCTTTAATATAGATCTCAATGATTTTCACTCTGATAAGTGTCTGTCATATTATTACAATTTTAATTTGAGTATTTTCGATAATACTGGAAACGATAAAAAGTATTTATCTATTGATCATAATGAATTGTATAGAAATATTACTCACTTATTAAGTGAAACCAACTCTTATATTCTACAAAAAATTCTGACAATACAGAATAACATTCCTGACACTGTTCGTGAAACTATATCAAATATAACTTTTGAATCGCTTGAAAAATACAAAATAATTAATAGCGAGAGGAAACGCTCATCTTTTGCCACTGAAATTTCACGAAAAATTGTAGATTTAATTGAAAATTCAAAAATTCCGGTTACTACTTCTCTTTCACATATTACATTATCTCAGCCTAAAATTGGTGAGAATTATAATATAATAAACTTTTTTTTTTTATTAAATTTTGATAATTTCATCTTTATTAAGTATTAACTAATAATTTACTATTTTTTAGAGACTTCAATTCAGACAAGTCATATTTATCAACTGTATGTAAATCTTTTTGAGAATTTTGAAACTGACAACATTCCTTTCAACTATAATAATATTTTAGATATACAAAGTGTTATTATGAATACTCTACAGGATAAATTACCTAAAATAAAAAGAAATCAAGCTGTTGAATCACAAACCTTTAGTGCAATTGGTCTTGTAATAACACCGCATTTTGGTATCAAGAACTCAAGAATAAATGCAATTTGTGCAATAGGTCTGACAAAACAAGTAGTTGGTATAATAAGTCCTCAAACAAATTATCAAAGATTTGAAATTAATGATATTCGGGAATTTAATTTAGTAAAACTCCAGTCATATGAAATGGAAACAGTAACTACTTTCCTCTTTAATTTCATTGCAGTGACTCAAGAAAAGTTTTTTGAAAAATATGAAAAAAAATTATACAACATGATTCATGATATTTTAATGGAATATAAGAGTAGTACAAAAATTAAAGAGAACTTTCAGATAATTCTCCATAAAATATATAATGCAAGTGATTATATATTAAGCAATAATTATGTTTTAGGTACTCTAGAACCATATCTCAATGAAATTGTAACCGGCAATACATCATCCTTACTAATGTCTAATTCAATTATGAGAAATAATATAATGAAAAACTTGCCTCTGAATTTTCAAGAAATTAAGATATTTCTATTGGAATCTGCGATTTTTCACGTTCTCCTTGAACATAATTTTGACTGTAATAATTTTAACAGAACTAATCTCATAAACGACATCATCAACCAAGTTGAATTAATTTTGGATACTAAACAAGATTTAGGAACAGAATATCAAGAAGCAATTAATACCATGAACATTAATTTTACTTCGATAGAGCAAAATTTGACATTTTTTCTAATCGAATGTCAAAAAGGCAACAATACTCGTATAACGTATTCGACGGATGTAATTACCCAAAATTTGATAGATAATATTACATTGGAAAAATTTATATGTCCAAATAATAAGCGAGCAACATTTTCACGGTTCAAACTGTATTTTTTCCATGTAATAAAAATGGAAGTGCAACAGTATTTCCACAGTGGACAGACTAAAAATATTTTTAGTCTTGAAGAAACTATTACAATGTTATTACTTCTTGAGTATTCAAAGTGTGTTTACGAAAAAGGATATGACTTAAATATTCAAAATAGATTTGAACATATAAATGCCGATTGGCGTTGTTTAAAAAAATAATATACATAACTATAGTGCAAATATATATATATATATATATATATATACGATATGATAAGAATACCTTTGCTTAATTGTTGTACATTTATATTTTTCATGTTATCTTTCAATAATAACACTTTGCTTTCTCGAATGAAAATTAAAAATATTTTAAAATCATGGGTAAAAGTTTATTTTAATTTTTGTTAATTATTTATTATTTATGCTAAATACTGACAATGTTTTTCATTATTTTTAATGTAGGTATTTTTTAAAGTATGTAGTATTTGCAAATATATATATAGTTTTTCAAATAAGAAAAAACGATTGTAATGTCTAGTATAAACTGAATGTTAAAAAATACATAAAAATGAATAATAAAATTTGATAATTTATATTACATACGTAATGTTTATGTACACGTTTCTATTCAGTTAATAAATTTTAGTATTATTTTAAACTTCCAGTGAAGAAACACGCACAACATGAAAAATAAAATCTACTTTTGGTTTTCTTCAATTCTTCTATGTTTTTATATTACTGGTAAAAATATTAATTAATGAATTATAATAATTAATTAAAATTAGAAATTTATTTAAAAATTAATTAATACCAATTATAACTATCTAGCAATAATAATTTATGAATTTCCATGGTTATATATCAAAAATATTTTAATTGTTTTCGGGGTGCATGATTATTCCATAAAAATAATTTGTTAGAATTTTCAACTTAAAGAATTTTATTATGGAAATGATTATTTTTTAGACGAATTTTCAATTTTTTGACTTAGCCTTTAACATAATTTCTATTTTTAAAAGAATTTTACTTATTTCACTGGTGAAATAGCTAGAAGTCGGTTACTGAATCATTTAGTGAAATTTTCACTGAAATTCAGTCATATATCACTGATTTCCAGTGAAAATTTCACTGGCCAAATAGCATTTTACCAATTCATTATGGGAAAAATAGAAATAATATTAGCTGTGAAAACCAAATTATTTCTAATTAATTTAGTAAAATAAAAATTTTACCAAATAAAAATTAGTACTACCTAAAAATTCTGTAAAGTAAAAATTATTTGAAACAAATTCTGTTGAATAAAAATTCGTCAAAATAATAATTATATGTAATAGAATTTTTTAAAAAGAAAACTGTACTCTCTAAATCTGAATTAGTAAAAAATAAAAATGTTTACTAATTTAAATTAGTGACTCACTTTTTGCTTTAGAATTAATTAAATTTTACTAATTGTTAGTAAAAGTTACTAATAGTTAATAAAATTTTAATAATTGAGAAGCAAAAAGTAAGTCACTAATTCAAATTAGTAAACTTTTTTACTAATTCAGATTTAGAGAGTAGGTAACAGATGATTTGCTTGTGATAATTATGTGCTCCATTATTTTCACACTTTTTTTGTTTAAATAGATTACGTACATGGAACTGAGTTTGAAAAACTAGGTAAGAGTATATATAAAACAAAGTTCATATAATTTTTTGCAAAAAGAAAAAATAAAATATCGTTCACTTGTTTGAAAAAATAATCTAGCACTCACTAAAGTCGTGCAACATTAAAAACTTTATATACATGAGATAAACTTGAAGTAAAAATAAAACAAAAATTAAACCGATTTTTCTTTTTAATATTTTTTTAATAAAATTAATCTCTCCATCTAGGTATAATAATAAAATGATAAAGGTATTAAATTTTTCTTGCACTTAAATATTTTTTTCATTTGCAAGCAATATTACCTAATTTTATTATTTGATTTTGGGGCTAAATTGTATAACTGATTTTGCAGTAAAATATAATTTATGAAATAATATAATATATTTCCAGAAATTTCTATGCATACAAATTATGTTTTTCAATTGTATGTAAAACTCTTTGAGTATTTGAAAAATGTCAATGATGTAGATGACATTATATATTTAAAAATAAAAGAAATTATTAACGATGTCTTTAAGGAAGTAATACCTGATGAAATGATTTTTCAACGCTTTCATAAAAAAATTGTAACCCGAATTTTTATTAATTCAAAATCACTTTTAATTGACAAAAATTCAAAAACTTTGACTGCATTGAGAGCATTAGAAATAACAAAAGCAATCACTGTAATGCATCAATTTTTTCCACAAATTATAAAAAATGAAATAAACAAAATTACTGAGTTTCAGTTTGCAGAACTCTCGTCGTATGAAATGGAAAATGTAAAAAATTTGTTATTATACTTTATTATTGCCAGTAATAAAGTATTTCAAGAAAAAGAGAAAGAAAAATTGACAAATGCAATTAATAATATTTTAAAGGAATATAATAATAGAGATAAAATTAAGGGAAACTTTGGCATAATTCTTGATAAAATATATAATGATACTGACATAAGAAGAATTAAGATAATGAATAATATTAAATATGATCTTATGATTAATCTAAAAGGAAATACATTATCCTTAGAAGCATCGCGATTAATTATTGAGAATAATATATTGCAAAATCTACCCAACGAATATCCAAGTAATAAGATTGTTCTATTGGAAAATGCGATTTTTCACATTCTCCTTAAACATAATTTTGATTGTAATAATTTTAACGAAACCAATCTCATAAACGATATCATCAACCAAATTGAATTAATTATGGATATTAAACAGGATGTAGGAACAGAAAATCAAGAAAACATTACTACAATAAATAATAATTTTACATCGATCGAGCAAAATTTAACATTTATACTAATCGAATGTGTTAAACAATATAATACAGATAAAATATATGAGGTGGATAAAATTGTCAAAAATTTGTTAAATAACATTGAGCTGAAAAAATACTTCTGTACAAATAATATGCAAGCAACACTATCATTGTTCAAAAAGTATTTATTGAACGTGATAGAAAAACAAGTGGAACATTTTTCCTTCAGAGAACGGATTGAAAATATTTTTAATCTTAAGGAAACTATTTCTAATACAACTATTCAAACACATGACAAAGACAATTTTAATCTTGACAGGAATTGGTTATCTTGCGCGAATGAAATTTCACGAAAAATTGTAGATTTGATTAGAAACTCAGTAATTTTGTTTCCACATATTGCATTATCTAAGAATAAAATTGGTGAGAATTATAATCTAATAAACTTTTTTTTCATTAAACTTTGATAACTTCATCTATATTAACTAATAATTTATTATATTTATTAGAATCTTCTATTCAGACAAGTGATATTTATCAACTGTATGTAAATCTTTTTGAGAATTTTGAAACTGACAACATCCCTTTCAACTATAATAATATTTTAGATATACAAAGTGTTATTTTAAATACTCTACAGGATAAATTACATAAAATAAAAAGAAATCAAACTGTTAAATCAAAAACCATTAGTGCAATTGGTCTTGTAATAAATCAGCATTTCGGTATCAGGAATTCAAGAATAAATGCAGTTTGTGCAATAGGTCTGACAAAACATGTAGTTGGTATAATAAGACCTCAAACAAATTATCAAACATTTGAAATTAATGATATTCGAGGATTTAATTTTGTAAAACTCCAGTCATATGAAATGGAAACATTAACTACTTTAATCTTTAATTTCATTGCAGTGACTCAAGAACAGTTTTTTGAAAAATATGAAAAAAAATTGTACAACATGATTCATGATATTTTAATGGAATATAAGAGTAGTACAAAAATTAAAGAGAACTTTCAGATAATTCTCGATAGAATATATAATGCAAGTGATTATATATTAAACAATAATCATATTTTAGGTACTCTAAAACTAATTTGACTATAATAAACATTTTTTATTAAATTTTGATAATTTCATCTTCATTTACAAATAATTTACAACTCCAACTATTAATTTTACTTAATAATAAATTTAATTATTTGTAGAAAACTCATCCAATAATTGTCATGTGAATTGGGATACAGTGATCCAAGAAAAATTAAGATTCTTGAAAGATTTGAATAACAAATCTTTAAGACAATTAGAGACTACAATTCTAGAAGAAGTTTTGCAAAAGTGCCCAAATCTTACATCAGTTGTATTCAATAAAATTTCTAGAGAAATTTCTTGTACCCTCTTAAAATACAGAAATATTAACCGGACAATGCTAATTGTTGAGATTTCTTATGATGTTGCAAACGATATTAAAAATATCTTGGATGATAAAGAAATTTACAGTAAGCATTTTTTAATCAACTTATTATAATCAATAATTTTCTCATTTTGTCAGTAATACTTTATAAATGATCAAGTATAATAATTAAAGTTTTCAGAATATGTTATTTTTGGGACTACAATGTTAATTTTTTTGGCAACTTTACTTTTAAAATTGATCTGAGATTTTGTAGAAAAAGCTAAAATACATCAAATCTCGCACATTTTTTAAAAATTTCCAAAGTATATTAAAAAAATTAATTCAATAAAACATCATAATTTTCGCACATAACAGCCATTCATTATCATATATTAAACATCTTCATAAAATCTTAGAACAAAATACATTCAATATTTTAGGAGTAAGGTTTCTGACAAAATTAATATTGTGCACCTAACAATCATATGTTAAATAGTATTTCAAAGTAATGTTTAAGTATTATTTCCAATAAAATTTTCTTACAACAAAATAAAAGAAATTCTCTAATATTGAGAACATATTTTTCTAATTTTAATTAAAAAATAAATTAATTATCTTTAATAAAATTTTCTTTAATTTAGATCTCAATGATTTTCAATCTGATAAGTGTCTGTCATATCATTACAATTTTAATTTGAGTATTTTCAATGATACTGTAAACGATAAAAAGTATTTATCTATTGATCATAATGAATTGTATGGAAATATTTCTCACTTATTAAGTGGCAAAAAAAATGAAACCAACTCTTATATTCTACAAAAAATTCCGACAATACTGAATAACATTCCTGACACTGTTCGTGAAACTATATCAAATATAACTTTTGAATCACTTGAAAAATACAAAATACTTAATAGCGAGAGGAAACGCTCATCTTTTGCCATTGAAATTTCACGAAAAATTGTAGACTTGATTGAAAATTCAAAAATTCCGGTTACTACTTCTCTTTCACATATTACATTATCTCAGCCTAAAATTGGTGAAAATTATAATATAATATAAAAATTTATTATTAAACATTGATAATTTCATCCCTATTAACTAATAATTTATTATATTTTTTAGAATCTTCTATTCAGACAAGTGATATTTATCAACTGTATGTAAATCTTTTTGAGAATTTTGAAACTTACAACATCCCTTTCAACTATAATAATATTTTAGATATACAAAGTGTTATTATAAATACTCTACAGAATAAATTACCTAAAATAAAAAGAAATCAAGCTGTGAAATCAAAAATCTATGGTGCAATTGGTTTTGTAATAACACCGCATTTTGGTATCAAGAACTCAAGAATAAATGCAATTTGTGCAATAGGTCTGACAAAACAAGTAGTTGGTATAATAAGTCCTCAAACAAATTATCAAAGATTTGAAATTAATGATATTCGGGAATTTAATTTAGTAAAACTCCAGTCATATGAAATGGAAACAGTAACTACTTTCCTCTTTAATTTCATTGCAGTGACTCAAGAACAGTTTTTTGAAAAATATGAAAAAAAATTATACAACATGATTCATGATATTTTAATGGAATATAAGAGTAGTACAAAAATTAAAGAGAACTTTCAGATAATTCTCGATAAAATATATAATGCAAGTGATTATATATTAAGCAATAATTATATTTTAGGTACTCTAGAACCATATCTCAATGAAATTGTAACCGGCAATACATCATCCTTACTAATGTCTAATTCAATTATGAGAAATAATATAATGAAAAACTTGCCTCTGAATTTTCAAGAAATTAAGATATTTCTATTGGAATCTGCGATTTTTCACGTTCTCCTTGAACATAATTTTGACTGTAATAATTTTAACAGAACTAATCTCATAAACGACATCATCAACCAAGTTGAATTAATTTTGGATACTAAACAAGATTTAGGAACAGAATATCAAGAAGAAATTAATACCATGAACATTAATTTTACTTCGATAGTGCAATATTTGACATTTTTTCTAATCGAATGTCAAAAAGGCTACTATAATGGTAGACCGTATTCGATGGATGTAATTACCCAAAATGTGATTGATATTATTACTTTGGAAAAATTTATTTGTCCAAATAATAAGCGAGCAACATTTTCACTGTTCAAACAGTATTTTTCCAATGTATTAAAAACGGAAGTAAATCAGCATTTCTTCAGTGAACAGATGGAAAATATTTTTAATCTTGAAGAAACTATTACAAAGTTATTTCTTCTTGAGTATTCAAAGTGTGTTTACGAAAAAGGATATAACTTAAATATTCAAAATAGATTTAAACATATAAATGCCGATTGGCGTTGTTTAATAAAATATACACACCAAAAAAAATAAAATCTTAAAGTGAGAAGAAAATTCCGCTTCAATTTAATTTTTTTTTTAAATATGTATATGAATATTCATCTAAAAAATAGAGGATTCTTTTTTTTATTTAAGAAGATTTTGGTTAGATGATAACTTTAAATCTTTCTTTTTCGATTGAAAGTATTCTTTTCTAATTGAAATATTTTTTTTATAATTGAAATTATTCCTCTAGAAACGAAAGAAAATTTATAATAGTGAAAACATTTTTAAGAGCATTTGAACCTTCGTGACGTCACAAATCATGGCGCATGACACGCAAACTTCTCAGGTATGTGAAAAGCACAATTTTGAATATTTTTTAAAAAAACCTTTTGGAAAATGTTCAGAGAAACATAGACTATGTCTGTTATGTGCGGAAAATTCAAAATTTTGCGTTTAAAACGTTTTTTAAACAATGTTAAGGTCACAAATCATGGCGCATGACACGCAAACTTCTCAGGTATGTGAAAAACACAATTTTGAATATTTTTTAAAAAAACCTTTTGGAAAATATTCAGAATAACACAGACTCTGTCTGTTATGTGCGAAAAATTCAAAATTTTGCGTTTAAAACGTTTTTTAAACAATGTTTAAGTTGGTTGTCACAAGTAAGGAAAAATACACGAATTGCTTATATGTAGTCATTGTTTAAAAAACGTTTTAAACGCAAAATTTTGAATTTTCCGCACATAACAGACATAGTCTATGTTTCTCTGAACATTTTCCAAAAGGTTTTTTTAAAAAATATTCAAAATTGTGCTTTTCACATACCTGAGAAGTTTGCGTGTCATGCGCCATGATTTGTGACGTCACGAAGGTTCAAATGCTCTTAATATTGTTTGTTTTTGCTTCCTCGTGGAGGAAGCTTTGTAGTCCTTTCGTTTATAAAACATTTCAAAGTGGCGGAAACAAATTTTTTTCTTTATATAGAAACATGTTATATGAGATCCTGATCAATTGTCCGGATGTATGTATGTGTGTGTGTGGATCCCTTTTTTGTTTAGAAGATAACTTTAACAGGTTTTAATGGATTTAGATAAAATTTGGTAGGCTTATTTATCATATTAATATCTCAAATCTGACCAAAAGATTTTGAAAAATACCCCAAAAAAAAAATTTTATCGTCTTTTTTCCAAAAATTTTTTTTTAATCGAAAAAATTTTTAAATAGAAAAATTTAAGGTTATATATAATAAAATCGTATTCTGTACGTCAAGACGAATCGATCGATATATATATAAAGTATACATTTGAGGTAAATTTAAAGAATTAATGAAAGTTAAAAAATCAAAAATTCACATTTTGGCTATAAAATTTTGTGATTTTTAAAATTGAAGTTTATATATGAAATAATTGTATTCCTTACGTCAAGACGAATCGATCGATATATATAAAGTATACATTTGAGGTAAATTTAAAGAATTAATGGAAGTTAGAAAATCAAAAATTCACATTTTAGCAATAAAATTTTGCTTTCTCCACGAGGAAGCAAATTTTTTTGCTGATCGTAAAGAGGAAGCAAAATGTTCATGTAATGAACATCTGAATGTACAACTTGTTTGTTTTCTTACGCACACCTCCAAACCGTTCGAAAAGTAACAGTTAAAGAATAAATAATGAACATCGCACTAAGAAACCTTCTATGTGAACTGGGACTAATAAATTTTTTTATGTAAATACAAATAAGAATGAATTATATATTTTTATTTATAGAAATGTTTATAAATTATTGTTTCAATTTCTTGGAAAGATGTAAAAAAAAATTTTTATGTAAATTATTCATAAACTTTTTTCACTTGCATACTATGCATTTTATTTTAAAATTAACCTGCAAATATATATACGAAATAATAAGAAAACTTTTGCTAAATTGTTGTATGTACATTTATATTTTTCTTGATATCTTTTAATAAATACTTTGCTTCCTCAAATAAAGATAAGATCTTTTTTTAAAGTTATGGGCAAAATTTTATTTTAATTATTTATTGTTTATGTCAAATACTGATAAGGTTTTCGATTACTTTTAATATATTTTTCAAAGTATGCAGTATTTGGAAATATAATTTTTTTTTGAATAAGAAAAAACGATTGTAATGTCTAGTATATACTGAATTGTAAAAAATACATTAAAACAAATAATAAAATTTGATTAGTTATATTATATACGTAATGTTTATGTACATGTTTCTATTCAGTTAATAAATTTTAGTTTCCTTTTAAACTTCCAGGGAGTAAATACGCACAACATGAAAAATAAAATCTACTTTTGGTTCTCATCAATTCTTTTAATTTTTTATATTATTGGTATGAATATTAACTAATGAATTACAAATAATTAATTATAATTAGAAATTTATTTAAAAAATGATTTATATAATAAAGTATTCATTTCTATAGTAGTATATCAAAAATATTAAAATTATTTTTACTTTTTGATTTTATTTTTATTTTCACACTTTTTTATTTAAATAGGTGACGTACATGGAACTGATTTTAAAAAATTAGGTAAGAGTGTATAAAAAAATAATAATTTTCTACAGAAAGAAAAAAAAAAGATAATATCGTTCACTGTTTGAAAAATTATTCCTACACTCACTGAAATCGTGACACATTAAAAAACATTATGTATACATGAAATAAAGAAGTAAAAACGAAAAAAAAAATTAAACCATTTTTCCCTTTAATATTTATTAAAAAAATTATTTTTTTATTCAGATATTATTAAAAAATTATAAATGTTTATTAAATCTATCAAATTTTCCTTGCACTTATTTTGTTTAAATTTGTAACTGATATAAATTGCTGTTTCCAGAAAAGTTATTTAGAATTTCCGGCAAAAATCCGGAAATCGCTTCGAAAATTTTCCAAACGTCTTTTTTGTAATTTTCCTGAAATTCTTCCACATGTAAATTGTTTATCCTGTTAGTAAAATATAATTTATGGAATAATATAATATTTTTTCAGAAATTCCTATACATAAAAATTATGTTTTTCAATTGTATTTAAAACTTTTTGAGTATTTGGAAAATGTCAAGGATTTTAATGACACTATATATTCACAAATAAAAGAAATTATTTATGATGTCTTTAAGGAAGTAATACCTGATAAAATGATTTTTCAACGTTTTCATAAAAAAATAGTACATATAATTTTTATTACTTCAGGATCACTTTCAACAGACAAGAATTCAAAAACTTTGAGTGCATTGAGAGCATTAGAAATAACAAAAGAAATCACTGTAATGCATCAATTTTTTCCACAAATTATAGAAAATGATATAAACAAAATTACTGAGTTTCAGTTTGCAGAACTGTCGTCGTATGAAATGGAAAATGTAAAAAATTTGTTATTATACTTTCTTATTGCCAGTAATGAAATATTTGCAGAAGAAAAAAAAAAATTGACAGATGCAATTGATAATATTTTAAAGGAATATAATAATAGAGATAAAATTAAGGGAAACTTTCAGATAATTCTCGATAGAATATGCAATGCAAGTGATGATATATTCAGCAATAATTATATTATAGGTACTCTAGAGCTGTATCTCAATGAAATTGTAACCGATAATACAACATCCTTACTTCTGTCGCAGTTAATTATAGAAAATAATATAATGAAAAATTTACATTCAAAATTTCAAAAAATTAAAATTTTTCTATTAGAAAATGCGATTTTTCACATTCTTCTTGAATATAATTTTGATTGTAAGAATTTTAACAAAACTAATCTCATAAACGAAATCATAAAAGAAGTTGAATTTGTTTTGGATACTGAACAAGATTTAGGAACAGAATATCAAGAAGCAATTAATACCATGAACGTTAATTTTACTTCGATCGAGCAAAATTTGACAAACATACTTACAGATTGTGTTAAAAAATATAATACTGTTGAAATGTATTCAATGGATGTAATTACTGAGAATTTGTTAAAAGATATTACATTGGAAAAATTTATTTGTCCAAATAATAAGCAATCAACATTTTTACAGTTCAAACAGTATTTTTTCAATATAATAAAAATGGAAGTGCGTCAGTATTTCAACAGTGAAGAGATTGAAAATATTTTTAATCTTGAAGAAACTATTACAAAGTTATTACTTCTTGAGTATTCAAAGTGTGTTTACGAAAAAGGATATAACTTAAATATTCGAAATAGATTTGAACATGTAAATGCCGATTGGCATTGTATAATGAAAAATATATAAGGATGATGATAATAATATGCACTGAAAAAATTGTCTTCAATATATTCACAGAAAATTAAAAGGCATTAAAATAAGCGTTGCAGCTTATTTTATTGCCTTTTAATTTTCTGTGTTAGCGTCTTCTTACTTTAGAGCACTTTTCTCCTTTATATTCAGTAACTAAATTATTTCCGTTTGATTAAATGAATTTTCCTTTCTAAGAAAGGAATAATATCAAAAAATAATTTATTGTATGTCAATTTTCAGACTTGTTTAAAATAAAGTCATATAAGAGTTAAAATTGTTGATTATTTATTACCTTCTACAAATATTATTCTACGGGATGAAAATTTTCATATAGGGTCAGTTGGGGTAAATGGGGACAAGTGGTTTTGGAGCTTAATTTACAGTTTTAAAATTAAGTTTAACGTCAATATTTTAACCTCAGATCACCTGCAAGAGGTTTTGTAAGCTTTTATCTTGACAATTGGCAGCAAGATAAAAAAAGTTATCGCTCAATGCATAAAAACTTGAAAATCAATGTCAAACTGTTTCAGTATTTTGTCTCGCATTTCAAAGAAAACAGACTTAAAAATCTTTACCAAATTTTTATCTTATTCCTTTTGACTCCTATAACAGAAATTCACTTAGATTTTTTAATTTTTATCAATTTGGTTAATAATGACAAACTGTCCCCATTTACCCCAAAAATTTGAAAACTCAGGGTAAATGGGGACAGCTTGTCATTATTAACCAAATTAACAAAAATCAAAAATTCAAGTGAATTTCTGTTATAGGAGTCATAAGGAATAAGAAAAAAATTTGGTATGATTTTTAAGTCTGTTTTTTTTCAAATGCGAGACAAAATACTGAAATGAAAAAAAAAATTTTTTAAATAAAAAAATTTCAATTGTTTCAACTATTATATATCTACTACAATTTTTTTTCAAGTTTTTTCATCTGTAATATACTTAAGGAAACTTTTTTCTTAAAACTTTCTTAGAAAATATGCTGTCCCCATTTACCCCAAATTTTAAGAAATTTTCTAAATAAATGCATAAAATTAATCCTGGGAACGTAAATAACAACTTAAAAAAATATAAACCCACAAATATTACCCTTTAAAGGAAGAAACTTAGATAATTTGTGAAAAATAGCGATTTTGTCCCCATTTACACTGAGAAAAAAGGTTTGAGCTGACAACCAAATATTTCATTCAATATATGTGCAACTAAAATTTTTTGGTTGACACAACTAAACTTTAGTTGACAACAACCAAAGTTTGTTTCAGACGACTAAATAAGAAAATGAAAAAGAATTTGGTAGTCTCAACCAAACTTTGGTTGATGTCAACTAAAGTTTAGTTGTGTCAACCAAGAAATTTTAGTTGCACATATATTAAATGAAATATTTGGTTGTCAGCTCAAACCTTTTTTCTCCGTGTACCCTAACTGACCCTACTGTAAGATATATTCCTTAGATATTTAGTCTATTCATGCTATATCACAGTATTATCATTTTTATTATGTAGTTTTTGTCTAATTATTAAAATCTTTATTGATTTTTTCTCCCAATTAATAATAAATTATAATTTCTTTAACATTTTTTTGTCAATTTTTTATAGGACAGGAAATATATATATCAAAAACATCTTTAACGTTTCGAATCTATAATTATTAAACAATTGTTTATACAAATGTTTAATAAATAGATAAAAATAAAATTATAGTTCATAAACATATTCTTTATTTGCATTAAATTGAAAATTACATTTTCTACTGAAATATAAAATTAAAAAAGTAAAAAAAGTAAATAAAAAAAATGTAAATGAATAAAGAATATATTTTTATATAATTTTATTCTTATCTAATTGTCAAACAGTCGTTTATACAGCTGTTAAACAATTAGACGATTTTCATTTATAAAGACACGTTACGTCTTCTTATTAAAGGACTATAGTGAGAAAATAAACTGTTCAATATGAAAAATAAACTTATATATGGATTGTTGTCGTCAATGTTTATAATTTCTTATATTATTGGTAGGAATTTTTATGATTAATTTTTTAATTTACCAAAGAATAATAATAAAAATTACAATTAAAATACAAAATTGCACCCCAAAAAAAAAAAAGATAAATTTCTCTCAGAGCCAAATAAGTATTTATTTGATTTAAATAAAAAAAATTTATTTACGCCAAATAAATAGGCTAGTAGGCTGTGAGACAAATATATGGTTATTTAACTAAAATATATTTGTTTCAAATAAAACATTTCTCAAAAAATTGTAAGAAATTTCTGTACGCTAAAATTATATATTTTTAACATTCCAGATGATGCATATGGATCTAAACCTCAAAAAATAGGTAGAAATACAAAAAAAAAACTTTACTTTTTCGAAAATTCTTTATATTTCTTTCTAATTTAAAAAAAATTATTCCTTAAAATCGTGATAAAATAAACTGTTTTATAGATTAGAGACAAAAAAAAATAACAAAATGCTTTTAAAAAACATACACTGTTAAAAATATTTGCCACAAAGATATAAACATACTAAAAAATGAAATAAAAGTTTTTTTAAAAATTGACTTACCTGAAAATGTTTTCAGTTTCTAGAACTTGCTTCAGATTACAACAGATGCATTACCTAGAAAAAAAAATTTCCATTATTTATTGTAGCTTGCTCAGAAAATTTAATTTATCAATGATTATAAACTGAATAAAACGAAGAACAATCAATTTATACAAAGTCTATATTGTTTTAATATTTATCAAGAATATTTTGTTTCAGTTTCAGTTGCAAAAGTTATTTTTGAATCATATTCTGACATTCTTAACGGAACAAAGAATATTTCTGTAATATCTTTTGATGTTGTAAATAACGTGATGAAAATACCTAATAAAAAAAAATTCGGTAAGTGAATTATCCAATAAATATTTTGCTTTTTTCTTAATAAAAAAAAAGTTAATTTTTATCAGAAATTATTATATTAATTAAATATTCACTTTGACTACAAAAATATAGGTTCCAAACATAAAATTTTCGAGGATACTTTTAAAAATCAAAAAATTCAAATAAATGCTGATGAATTAGAAGCGGAACTTTCGAAAAAACTCGAAATCATAAGATATCAAAACATATCAAAGGATGATTTATTTAAATACGTTTTAAACGTCACATTGCAAGGCAGAGATTTATCATTTAAATTTATAATCGATGAATTATCAAATGCAATTAGCAGTATTCTTAAAGTATATAAATTTAATTTAAAGAAATACGCAAAATTTATTGCCATTCGAATTTCAAAAGCAGTTTCAGAAATTGCAAAAGATCCAATGCAACCTATGAAAGTATCATTTGTAAGCAATGAATATTCTCAAATTCTTTACAGAAAATTACAATCCCATAGATATATTTTACCAATGAATCAGCTAATAAGGGATTATATATTATATTTTATAAAAAAATCCGAAAATATCGAATCACAAATAATTCTCGACAAATTTAAAACTACCATTTACGATGTTCTTGAAAGAAATATATACCAAGATTTACGTACTAAAATCCATATAATTCATATTAATTGTTACAACATTTTGTACAATCACAATATTTTAGATAAACTTAAATTCTATCTTCATACAAACTTTAAATATAATGCTACAATATCATCTTTTTATCAAACAAGAGAAATAATGCAAAAAATTTTAGAGCAAATGAATTTAGATACACATGAAATGCATATAAAACTTTTGCAACATTCTGTTTTACATACACTTTTGGAGAGTAATTTTGATTGCAGCAATAACAATTCTACATTTGAAATTTTTAATATTTCTACTAAAATCTTACATTCTGTTGAAAATCAATTAAACAATAAAGATGAATTAGGAAAATTAAAAACAGTCACAGAAGCTTATAATATTAAATATCAAAATTTTGATCTTATTTTACTAGAAAGAAAAATATTTCAAGAAATTTTTAAAACTAAAGTAGTAGTAGTGTCAAATGATAAAAATGTAGAAGAAAAATATAGTTTCATGCGTCGTTTACATTCTATAATAAAAAATTATACGAACACTTTATTTAATGATTTTGAATTGGGACGAGAAATTGAAAATTTATTTAAACAAGTTAAAAATATTAAAGATGAAATTTTCATAATAGAAAGAAAAATTATTCAATTTATTTTAAATAAATTTTTACATCATTTTACTAGTAACGGAGAAATAGATAAACTTCTTTATCCAATACATGAAAATGCTAATTATGAATGTTTTAATCACACGTTCACTAAGATTCATTTCTAAAATATATTCTATATATTTGTGTGAAATAATTTTATTTTTAGAAAAAATATTTTAATCTATTTCCGCATTAATATAATTCTTTGGTAACGAGAAAATACAATTTTATTTTCCATGTATAATTTTCTTAATATAAAAGTGAAAAAATTATTGTAAAGATAATAAAATTTAAAAAATTAAAATCTTTGTTTCTTTGTTAATTTTCTTAAAGTTATTACAATTTTTTTGTGTATAATAAATTGTAAGAAGGAATGGAATAAAAAATACAACTAATTTAACTATAAAGAACTAAAAAATTAATTTTTGATATCTTCAATCAAATGGCTAATTCACGAAAAATTATGTTGGTTTAAAATATATTAACATAAAATTAATTAATATTTAAAAATATAAATTATAACTATTATCTTATTATAATCCAATATAATTTTATATACATCTCTTTGAAAAAAATGATTTTTACAATCGAAAATTATATTTTTTAAATAGGTACTACATAATAAATAAAATATGAAAATTAATTATTTCATTATACAAAAAAAATATACTCTTAATTCTCATTAAATTGCAAATTATATTTTCTTCTGGCAATTGGAATTTTATAAATAAGTAAAACTGATAAGCAAAGTAAATTTAAAAAATATATATTTCTAAATCATTTACATTGTTAATTTAGTTTTACAATTCTAAACTTTTGTTTTCAGACAAGAAACCTTGATTACTTTCTTTAAAAAAAAACTTGTTTAAACATAAAATATCGCGATTCTTTTTGGAAAAAATTTTATTCTCAAAATCTTAAAATGAGAAGAAAATTCTTTCAGTTCGACAGAAATACAAATACAAATACAAAATCATTTGGTTAGGCAATTTTTGTTCTTGTAACCAAATTTTGATTGGCTGAAATAAAGTCATAGAGTTATCTCAACCAAACATTTGGTTAGGCTAACAAAATTATTTGGTTGAACATTTTTAAATTCCAATCAAAATTTGGTTAGGATGAACAAAATAATTTGGTTTAAAATACCAAATGATCGTTTGGTGTCCTAACAAAAATTATAATATCTACTCTAATTATGTATTATTTTATTAAATTATTATTATTTTCAAATTTATTTTCAATTTTATTTATTTATATTTAATTTAAAATTATTTTTTTTATCTACATAGGTATATATAAGAAATTTTGAAGAATTTTTTAAATTATATTAGAAAAAGAAGATAAAAAATGGTAATATGAGAAAAATATAGCCAATATAGGAACAGGATTAAAAAAAAATTTTAAAGAATGGGATTCTCATGAATAATCATTAGACAAATGTTCATCCCCTTCGATATAATACATACTGGTAGGCGTTTCTTGCTTGCGCTTCATTCAGAAGCACTCTACGTCCGGTAGGCGTCAAGTGAACCATTACGATCTTGAAATATTGCTTTGCATTCCCAGCATCATTCACCTTTAGCGTTTTAATGAGTTCCCATGACAGATAACTATGAAATTATAACCCCAAAACCGCATGGCACAATATTTTTTACGATTTTACAAGAATGTCAATAAAAGTATAAAAAAATAAAAAAAAAATAATAATAATATCTATTAATAAAAAATAAAATGTTAATAAATGATTCACACTAAATTATATATTTAAAATTATGATAAAAAATTACAATTTCAGAATCACGAAATTTTTTCTTGTTTTTCGAAACTGTCATGATTAAAAGAATCGATATGAATATATTATGTAATTTATTATTAGCTTAAAAGTCTTTATTTGTCTTTTTATTGCGAAAAATAAATTCTTGACAAAAGATAATTTGAACGTTAAAAAAAATATAGCATATGACATAAAAAAAAACAAAAAATAAAATATGTGCGCCTATTATTTTATGTAAAAGACAATAAAAAAAAATTCGTTTTTTCTTACATTAAATAATTAACTTTCTAAGAAATGATATATTTAGTTAAACACGCAGTCATATAATATTCAAAAAGCGTGTAAGTTGCAAGCATATAAAATTTACTACTTTTGTGACCACGTGATGCAAACCACATGCTGATGACATGGATCTTTGGTGGTAAATGATTTTTGTATAGTATTGCGGCATTTCTAAAAGAGCTCGTGTGGAATAGGGCGCGCAGTGGCGCCGGGACATTGCGTGAATGACATGAGATATGTCTGAGAGGGTGTAACCGAGATCTTCAAATCGACAAAAAAAAAAAAATTAGTTCACACGAAAGAAATCGTCTGCGGCTTATCACAAAATTCTTTTGCTCACGTGCCACATTATAATCCCACTTACAGAAATAAAAAAAAAGCAAAACCAAACATTGTATCGTAAAAAACAATATTATGTTAAAACTTCGTTATATACAGTTTTCTTGAAAGTATCAAATTGAGACCAAAAATAGCATCAAATCGTTGCAACGTTTTGATGCACATAAATTATATCAAAATGAGAGCGTTTTGTAAATCTTTTTGAGAAATAATACACGAAACGGTCTTATTTTTTGATGCAAAAAATTTAATCAACTTATATTAATCATGATCGAAATGAATCGACTGAAAAATAAACGATTTATTTTTAGTTACTTTCGTAATATTGTAATTGCGGAGACTATTTCACTATTTAATTTGAAAATAAAAATAACAGAAAATCAAAGACAATGTGCAATTCGATAATTAAATAGTGACACCTTATAAACATAACCTAAAATGCATGAAAAAAAATTTGTCGATAATATCAATATTGCCGAGTTTTTTAGAACGTAGGTGGCAGCACTCATCTTTTCCTTTCTTTAAATATTTTCTGAATCTTTTTTATAAAAAGCAGAACTCTTCCTTGAAATATTTGTCAAAAAGATGTATTATGTTATCAAAAAAGTAATATTTTAATCAGTAATATTGGTTTAAATAAGATATTAATTATTTTCAACAATATGTGTTATAAAATAATTCATTATTTTTTGCAATATTTTTAATGAAAAAATTAATTTTTTCACAAATATTTTTGATCAAATAATAAATATTTTTCACCTTTTCTTTGATAAAAAAATTAATTTTTTTCACCATTATTTTTTATGAAAAAATTAATTTATTGCACCTATATTTTTGATTAAAAAATTAATTTATTTCACCAATATTTTTGATTAAAAAAATTTTTTTTTTCTGTAAAGAGAAGGGGGTAAAATCCTAATTTTTATTGGCAAAAAATCTTTTCGTACATTTTTAATTTTTGACACAACGAGCAGAAATATTGAGAGGAAAAAAAAATTAAAATTTTTAAATTAACAATATTAAGTCACATTTCATTAATAAAAAATAAAGATTTTTTGCTAATAAAAATTAAGGTTTAAACTCCATTTCTCAACAGAAAGAAAGATTTCTATTTTTGGCGTCAAAAATAAAAATGGTGAAAAAATTAAATTTTTCAATTTGACACTATTTAGTCCTTCTCCTAAATAAAGAATGGAGCTTTTTTGCCAATAAAAATTAAGATTTAAACTCCTCCTCTCTATTAAGAAAGATTTCTATTCATGACGTCAAAAATTAAAAATTGAGAAAAAATTAAATTTTTTTTTTTTGAAAATATTTAGTCCCACACCCTTAATAAAAACTTGAGATTTTTTTGCCAATAAAAATAAGGATTTTACCTCTTCCTTTTTACAGAAAGAAAAAGTACATTTTTAAAGGAAATTTTCATGAAAAAAAAATTTTTTAATTAAAAATATTGGTGAAATAAATAAATTTTTTCATCAAAAATAATGGTGAAAAAAATTAATTATGTTATATGTAACACATATTGTTGAAAATAATTAATATTTTATTTAAACCAATATTATTGATTACAATATTACTTTTTTGATAACATAATACATCTTTTTGACAAATATTTCAAGGAAGAGTTTTGCTTTTTATAAAAAAGATTCAGAAAATATTTAAAGAAAGGAAAAGATGAGTGCTGCCACATACCTTCTAAAAAGCTCGGCTATGTTGATTTTATCGACAAATTTTTTTTCATGTATTTTAGGTTATGTTTATAAGCTGTCACTATTTAAGGCCAGGTCCAAGTCGTGTCAGCTGTTCCATTGAAACTTCAAAGGAACAGCTGACTCGACTTGGACCTGGCCTTAATTATCGAATTGCACATTGTCTTTAATTTTCTGTTATCTTCAATTTCAAATTAAATAGTGAAATAGTCTCCGCAATTACTCTATTACGAAAATAACTGAAAATAAATCGTTTATTTTTCAGTCGATTTATTTCGGCCACGATTAATATAAGTTGATCGAATTTTTTGCATCAAAAAATGATACCGCTTCTTGTATCATTTCTAAAAATGATTTACAAAACGCACTCATTTTGATATAACTTATGTGTATCAAAACGTTGCAATAGAAAATGATACAATCAACTTTACTGTGATATTGTAATGTAATTATAATTTAGTTATTTTGTTGTTACAAACAAAATTTAGTACAATCTTAATATTCAAGAAGAAGTGTTAGATAAAAGATCTGTAAATCACCGTAGCTGTGTGGTTAAAGTACATGGCTCACGTTCTAAGGGCCTTGAGTTCGATCCCCTATACGCGCGAGATTTTTCAAAATTATTCTTGAATAATTTATCATTTTATCATTTATTTAAAATAAAAATAATCAGGCCCACATTTCAATTTCTGCAGGGGAATGTTGTTTTATATGTGACATACAAACAGTTTTTTTATATAGTTAAAATTTTTTATTGAAAACAAAAACAACCTTAATTGTTTTCCAACTATTTACCTAGTTACAGTCTCATGAAAGTTAATGACGCGTGAAAAGAGGAAAACTCTCGTACTGCTCTAGAATTCAAGTTATTTTCATAATCCCCATAAGAAAGCATTTATCAAAGACGTTCCAATGGCCTGAGGACGTAACACCCGGCGGAACATATAATTCGAGCCGGAAGTTCATGATAGACGCAAGCAAAGAATAAAAAAAAAAGAAAAAAAACATGTTTACGGGT